ACCTTAAATAGTCACAACCCCGTGTTCTTTTTAACACCATTAACTCCATTTTAAACATGCCTCAGTCTGCCAACATCAAGGCCTCTGGAGACACTTGTAATAAGTTTGTCAGGCATTTTGTTGACAAGGTTGAGTTGATTGGGTCATCGATTTCACACTCCACAGCTGACCCTTCTGTCTTTGTCCCCTGTTCAGCAGTCTTCAGTCACTTTGAACTCATTTCCCTCTCTTTTTTTCCCCTTTCATTTTTAAATGGTGTTGTTGGTGAAACCCTCAGTTGCTGATCCCATCCCTTGTGTCATTTTTTAAACAAGTTTCACCATCAACTGGACCCTCTGTTATTGTCATTATAAACAGCAGTTTGGCTGCAGGTTTGGTTTCTGATGTTTTTAAACATGCAGTGATAACTCCATCAATTAAAAAACCTGGAATGGCCCTTCAGATTGTTCAAATTTCAGAGCAATTTCAAAACTTCCCTTTCTTTCTAAAATCTTGGAGAAAATAGTTTTTATTCATCTAAACAAGTTTTTAAATGAAAATCTAACTTTTGAGATTTTCCAGTCTGGTTTTAAACAATTACACAGCACTGAAACTGCTTTGGTAAGGGTCTGTAACGACATTCTGCTAGAGAATGACTCTGGTCAGTGTGTGATCCTGGTACTCCTTGACCTTACTGCTGCATCCGACACTGTTGACCACAGTATCCTTATATCACGGTTAGAACACTGGGTTAGGATTACGGGTGCAGCGTTACAATGGTTCTGTTCATATCTGAGCGACAGAAGTTTTTGTGTTAATGTAGGTAATAGTTTATCTGCTTCTGGGCCTCTTTCCTGCGGGGTCCTACAAGGCTACATTCTTGGGCTCCTTCTGTTCTCATTGTATCTGCTCCCCTTGGGGTCTATCCTGAGGAAACGTGGTCTTTCATTTCATTGTTATGCTGATGATTGCCAGATTTATCTGCCCTTAAAATCCAACAGTTCCAGCTCCATTCACCCTCTGTCAAAATGTCTCATTGATATCAAGGCATGGATGGCTTCATAATTTTTAAGTTTTAATGATCAGAAAACTGAAGTCATTGTGTTCTGGACAGGTTCAAAATACAAAAAAAAAAAAATTGTAGAAACGTTTCCTTGTTGATTAATTATTTTTTTTTTTTATTAATTTTTTTTAAATGAGTGACATGTCAATAATTCTTCTCATAAGACTCCATGGGTACTAGCAGTATTTTTCACCCATTTCAAATGAAATCATGTTTTCATGAGCCCTGATAACAACAATAAAATAAATCCTGAAAAAAAAAATAATAATCCAAGCATACAGCCATTAATCATAAGAAAACTAAAAAGGAAGCTGACTCATTTCTGCTTTGATGCACTCTGGTGCTCATAAACCGTGGGCAGATAATTCTATATTTCTTCATGTTCACATTTAAATGGGCTGTTTCTGCATCAGATGGATTACCGAAGATTTCAAACATATTATTTGTAGCTTCAAAGTCAATAAACTATCGAGTGAATGTGGTACCAAATCTGTTCAGTTTTTCAGCAAAATGAGTACTTGAAACTTGGTTATAGATTTAGTTTGTAATATACTGGTAGCATGAAAAATTCTAAAGAATAAAATTGGTTTTTCCTACAGCTTTGCCTCAGACATGAGGATCACACAGTTCCTCCTAAAACTGCAAGTTCAGCACATTGAGATGGTTCATTATGTCATCCAGAAGCCCAAATTTAAAGAGAAACTTTTGAGTCCAGAGCTCCATGGTCTGTCTCTCTACTTTCCAAAAACTGACAGCTTTCAGTTTTCCTACCGCAACTTAAAATGTTTGTTCAGCATTTTCCAATGACTTACCTATTGTACTTCTATGATGCTTTTTTTTATCACAACCCTATTCATTTTATTTATACATCCTTCCATCCATTATCTTTACCTGCTTCTTCCTTTCAATGTCATGCAGGTCACTGGTGCCCACGTCCAGCAGTCACTGTGCAAGAGGCAGGAGACACCCTAGACAGGTTTCCAGTCCATCACAGGGACAAACAACACATAGAGACAAACAAGACAGCCATTCACTCTGTCACTCACATCTAGGGACAGTTTTGAGTCTAACATGCTTGTTTTGTTTGTGGGAGGAAACCGGAGAACCCGAAGAAAATCTACAAACTCCACCCAGAAGTTCCTGTGCCAGGATTCGATCCAACAAGAAGTGACAGCTCTACCAACTGAGCCACTGTGCTGCCTTTATTCAATCAACTAATCCCTGCCCCATTATAAACTAAAGATGGGGCTGATATGTGTTAAGGCTTGTTAGAGCTAACTTAAGTGTCAGTAAACTAGATTTTTCAAGGATTTAAGGTTCATTTGTCATCCACACCACATGTGGTGCATGTGGTGGAACGAAATTATGTACACAGGGTCCCAGTTACAGCCAACAAATGTGTTAAAATGTAAAAGAAAAACAGTAATAAGATCTAAGATATGAACTAAAACTTAAAAATTTTAACTAAAAACACACTAAGCACTATTAGCATAAAAACAATACACCAACTTTTCTGGAATTTGTACTATAAAGCATCCATGTACTGTTTACCCATCAGCTAGTTCCAACACATATTAAGTAATTTCAAAGGTCTGAATACTTTTTAGCACGAGACAAATCTAAACATGGTTTGAATTGTCAGCCTTGCTGCTCCAAGACATGGCCACTTCTTTATGCACTAAACATCAAATATGAGGAAACAGCTTCCTCTGTTTAAATATCTGCATTTAAATAGCACAGATCTTAAAGAGCTGAGATTTTTTAATCATTCTACTGAATCCTGGAAGTCATGATTTTGGGACACAAACAAAACCATATATTGTGTAAAACATTTCCTGAAAGGATGAGCAGAAGGATCCCCACAAAGTTGGCATACACTTTTAGTTACCTGCTTTAAAAATGAGGTGAATTTGGTGGAGTGGTCTGTTAAAGGTATCGTCTTGGTCCTCCATATGACACTGAAATGATATCTGACCATGACAACATCCACTGCTTTCAGTGTCTCTGTGTAAATATTGTCTACCTCCAGAGCCCTATTATTGGGAAGCGTATAATTACCTCAGCATCTTCTGCCAGGGTAATGTGCTTGCTTTTGCCTGAGTCCTCGGATTCTGCTTCTTGAGAGACATACGATTAAGGTCTGTAAGTGTTCCCTCCATCTTTCAACATTATCCACAGTAGACAATGTAAAATGTAGATACGATTACAAAAATGATCATAACTTTTGGACCTGAAAACAAATGATGGACCACCTTATAGGAGGGACAACCCACACCTGGTAACCAGAACACCAAAAGGATTCAGATCAAGGAGCCCTTTCTTGTCAGTGACACCTCTCGAGGTAACTTTGTAATATCCTACATTGGTATTGAAGTCCTCCATCCACATGTCCTAGGACACTAACCAAACCCTTAAAGAAGGCCAGGCAGTCCAAACTGCTTTTTGGTACAAACACAAAAACAACAGCTAGAACTCCAAAACAAAGACACTCAACCATTGACTTGTTAGTGTCCACAAACTTACTGGGCAACTACCTACAGAGTATGAGAGAGTCCATTGTTTCCTCTAGGTCAATTGCCTTGGCAGGGCACGCTCATGTCTTCAGGGATTTCTGTCGGGGGGGGGGGGGGGGGGAGGGTGAGAAAACAGTTAGTGCCAGCAGTTGTTGAACGTGGGGTGGGGGGTGGAAAGAGAAGTAAAGAGCTTCGTCTGTAACTTCTCAGCTAGTGCATCTGTATTGTGCACCGCTTAGTCCTACGTCAGTGCTGGCAGTTGTTGACGGGGTGGGGGTGGGGGTGTTGTTGTGGGTGAAAGTCAAATTGGTAGGCAGGGTGCTTGGTTCTGTTTGACAGGGTGGGGCGCCCTCCTTGAATAACGGTAGGGGAAAAACTGGTGTCTAGCCCCTTCTTCAAGATTTGGCTTCTGGAGCCAACACTGTGTTGGAGGTGAGTCTAACCCAGGGCTACTCAACTAAACTGCTCTGGGCCCACAGTTACTGAAAGCCAAGAGCTCAGCGGCCAGACATCCAGCAGTTATTGTCATTAAGTAAGTTTGTTTTATGGCTTAAAATCTAGTTTTATTTGAAAATGAACACACTGGTGGGCCGAACTGAGTTCATCCGTGGGCATGATTTGGCCCCCGGGCCTCCAGTTGAAAAGCCCTGGTCTAACCCTTAACTTCACACACCTGCACCAGATCACTCAGAGACATGTCAATATTTTTTCTTAAGCCTCCCTGGGTATCAGTATATATTTCTGTCACCCATTTTACCAGTGGACCTCCACTTCTCTTCTCGTAGGTCTCAAGTGAAGGTGACATCTAATGGGTTGGTTGACCTGAGCCTCAGGGTTCAACCACCATTGAAAAATAAATTAAAATTTATGTATTTGGAAATTATTTTGTTTTCCCTAAATGTGTCAATATGTGTTTTACAGCAAAACTTTGGACATTGTTCCTTGTATTTCTGCTGCAAAACATTTTTATTTTTTTTAATTTTACCTCCAATCTGTGATTCAAGTAAAAACTGATAAGGCAAATGTCCTCAGTTTAATTGTTTCTAATTAGTTTTCCAAAGTACTTACTATACCTTACATACACACTGTCACATACAGCTGCTGGGTGTATTAAAAGCATTCAGCTCAGCAAAAAAATTCAATCATGGAAAATAATTGGCCTGACACACAGATGCACATGATGGAAAGGGTTGGAGGTAAAGTGAGCTGCTGTCAGTCAGTCACGTAAAAAAGATGTCTACAGTGTGAAAAGGACAAAGAGTTTTTGTCAGAGTGAGAAAATAAAACTCTTGCCATCGGCAAGGTGGCCTGATGTTATCTTAAATATGTAATAAGCGTCAACTGCAAGATCAAGCACTCACAGCGTTTAGAGTGTATGCAGGAAAAATTGATATTCTGTGGGAAGGTTCCACACATCAAAGTGCTGCGTGCTGTTTGAGGCTTACCTGGAACAAAGCTCCCCTGAACAACCTCCTTGTAAGCCCACCATCCTTCGTGAATTTTTGGCGGATTTGGTTGAGCTGTGAGGAGAAAAGGAACAGAAGCAAGGACATCAGTCTTTTCATGTAAAAATAAAATCATACAAGAAAGCAAAAACTGTCCTGGTGGCTTCACACACTCCGACTGGTAAGTCACACTGATTTAATCTTTTAACCACTATAATCAATTTCAGACAACTTGCTCACTTCTTTCGACAGAGGCCCTATCAAATAGAACAGAATAAGCAGGAGCCACACATGACAGACAGACAGACAGACAGACGAAAAAGGTGCACATGCTGCCACGTCTAAACAGTGGTTCTCAAAATATTCAACTTCGGCAGAATTTTCAAAAATATTCCGTTATACCAAGGTTGTGTATCATGATTAAAACACATAAAAGTGTTATAAAATCCAACATTCTTGTTGAAAAAATGTCCTCGAGTTCCATGGAACAATGTGAAAAGTTGTATTGCATCACAAAAACACACAGTATGTCTTTGGTTCTGTTCAGAACGAGTCAAGAAATGTTCAGAAAATGTTTTTAATCGACTGCGCTACCCTATTTACTGCTTAGGATGAACATTAATCAATTTAGCTTTAATAATTAACTAATAATAACTGTTGTTCAGTCAAAAGATTGAGGTTGTTACTGCATCACTATTACTGGCACTTTCTAAATGAATACCATATTTTACTGGGAGTAAAAAAGTATGATTTTGTCCGAAATCATCAGATTTGTAATAAATAGCTACTCTAAAAGATGATCTAACAATTTATTAGATTGTTTAAAAAAATTGTGCATACAGGGAAATTAAATAGGGTGGCACGGTGGCACAGTTGGTAGAGCTTTTGCCTCTCAGCGAGAAGGTTGCTGGTTCAATTCCCAGCCCAGGACCATTCTGTGTGGAGTTTGCATGTTTTCTCTGTGCATGTGTGTGTTTTCTATGGGTTTCCTCCCACTGACCAAAAACATGCATGTTAGACTGATTGGTAACTCTAAATTGTCTCTAGGTGAGAGAGAGAGAGAGAGAATGGTTGTTTGTCTCGTTTGTCTCGATGTGTCCCTGTGATGGACTGGAGACATGTCCAGGGTGTCCCCCGCCTCTCACACAGTGACAGCTGGACATGAGCACCAGTGACCCCTGCGATAGAAAGGAAGAAGCGGGTAGCGATAATGGATGGATGGATGGATGGATGGATGGATGTAGTAACCAGTCAGTTCACCGACTGTCAGATTTAAAACGAAGAGTAGGATTTAAACTATTTAGTAATGTTATAATAGTAATGTTATTTAATTGCTAGACTAGATTCTTTTTGTCAGCCATCATAGAGTGAAAAGGGGGAATTGGAAATACCCTTCATCCATCCATCCATCCAAAACAATCATGGTCCCTTTTTGCATGTGTAAGTCCAGTTTCTGGGAATTCCACATAAGGCTGGCATGGAACACCTCAATGAGGTGCTATTTATAGGACAGTTCTTGGTGGCAGGCCTCAGACTGATGACGTCTTTCAAATGAAAGATGCAATGTTTCTCTCAAAAAGAAACTGTCCAGATGACATGATTTAACCTTTTCTTGTGTGTAAAATTATTTTCCACAAATGATTGAGGTGGCCCTTAAGGTGGCTTAAAATTAGTCATTAGCCACCATTAGCCACCCCCTGGTTCCGCCATTGCTCCTGGTTGTGGTTAAAATTGATTAAAAAGACAGACAGACAGATATACCTGTATTTTTCTACACAGAGTAACTCCTACCCACTTGAAAATCTTGCACCAAAAACATTATTATTTTCAATAAAGTGTCAAAAAGGAAAGAAACACAAAAATGTAAACTATTTGAGTGTCAGGCTTTGTAGAAGGGTGGTCACATCTCTGTGATCCTCGTAACTCTTGTGTGGTCGCACTTTCATATTCATCACTTTAGCTGTTGTTTTAGTGAGTGCACTTCAAGTTGTGATTGAATTCCAAGTTAACTACACTCAGCAGCCAAAACTTATAGTCTGTGCTGTGCACCTCCATTTACACACAACTAATCTTCCTCAGTGGAAATGTACTGCTGCAACCTGTTCTCTATAATAAAGCTCAGCACTAGGAAAAATAATGAGCCCTCTGATAGAAAACCGTGTTTAAGTTGTGTTTGTGTGCAAGCATGTGGAGCATGTGGAGTATTACTGCTTGTACCTGCAAACCTCTGGGATTTCAGCATCTGCAAATAATACTATTCAATGAGTTTTAGAGTCCCGGGACATGATCCTCCATCCAGATACTGACCCCGGAACAGTCTCCCTCCTTTCGACTCTGTCTACTGTAACTGTCTCTATTATAACAGCTGAAGAAAATTAAAACTACTTTTCAAATAGATATATCTACTCCCCTTTTATATTGGTCTAATTAGGGTAAATACGATTTTTTTTTAATCTCCATCAGTTTTAGAAAGAAATGGCTCCTGAGATCCAACAGTGATGGATTCTGTGAGGTAAATTGAGTCCTTCATGATCCCTGTGGGAAAACAGAGCTGTCACAGCAAGCAAACAGCGGCACTAATTACACCATATATTATAGAGTAATAATACATAGAGTGCCCAAAATGTTATGAATGAGAGATTACTGTAGGACAGTTATTGCAATAATAATTCATTCATTCAGCAATTATTTTACTGTATTCTGTTTGACCTTTTTTTTTTCTTGTCAACAAGTTTCACTTAATTAAGTTTTGTCAGTTGAACAGAAAGTAATCAAAATTTAGTCTTTCATCCAACTAATTAAAACGTTGAAGGTAGACAAACGATGTTTAAATTACATTTGTAATTTGAACTTAATGTGTATATTTGTAATTTGTAAGTGATTTTTCAACAGAATCCAGTTAAATGATCAAATGCTTTTCATCTATTGATTAACTAAGTGATTCATGTATTTGTACCTGTTTTTGTCCAGAAATAGAACTGAAACGACGAGTGGTACGCCGATGTCCCCCCACCGCTGAGGGATTTTTATATTTCTTTTTTGTATTTTTCACAATACGTTGTTCAAGTTTTTCTGGACTGGAATTGAACAGGGAATGAAAGTAAACCTAAATGTTTTTGGCACAAGATATTTAAGTGTGTAGGAGTTACACTGTGTAGAAGATCAGAGGTAGATTTGTTCTTGTCTGAGGCAGCACAGTGACGGATCCTGATGAGTGGAAAGAAATGTTATCCACAACCAAGTGCAAGGGTGGAGCCAGGGGGTGGCAAATGGTGGCTCGTGGGTGGCCCAATCTTAGGCCACCCCAGTCATTTGAGGAAAGTATACTTTTAAGCAATATAACAACTATAAAACAATTTCTTGAAATGTTTGGGGTGGTTTACATACGTATATGGTGGTGGCCATTTTGGATTATGGTATGGCAACCTAATTTTTGATAGAGATCTTTTTTATGCCTGCAGACACATGCCAAAATGGAAATTGGGGCATCGCTTGTTTTTAAAATTATCCAGTTAACAAGGTTACATATAAACATATTTTAGTTGTTTAGTTGAATTTTGACCTGACAACTCAATTTCGAAAGGAACCTTTTTTTATGTCGATGCAGCCTTTGTAACCATTTTCAATCCACAACGGGAGACATAAAATATAACCACGTTGTTGTTTTTTTCTTGTTTGTTTTTTTTTTTTTTTACAAAACACAGACATTATACAAAATAGTGCTACAGACTTTAGGTGTTTTAAATTTTAAAGTGTTGACAGTTAACAACAAATACTCAGTATGAATTTATCAGTTGAAAATATCCCCAGCAGTGGTTAATTTGAGCCGGATCATGTCGAAACAAGATCCAGGAACTTTATCATTTTGACCGCGTGTATTCCGGCAACTGTTTCGGATCCAGCAACTCAAATCTCTGTCCATAAAAGTCCAAAGTCATCGCGCATTTTTATTTTGATTATTTATTAAAAATACAAGGCGGAGATGTTGCCCAGACTGTGGAGTGGATGTTCCAGCCGCACTACGCGCACCAGCTCACGCACACACTCCTGACCAGCAGAGACGTGGACTGCATGTCCCGCGGGAATGAGCGTCTTCATCCACCTTCAGCTGTGCTCCCTGCAGACAGTGCACATTTTACACACAGAAGCGTCTCTAGACAGCTCTGCAGGACGCGCGCACAACTGCAGTGCATAACATTTCAGAGATAATAAATAAAAAAGCTTACAGTAAAAAAAAAAAACGTTTGAAATGTTTGATGTGTATTATTCACATTACATCACGTTTCAAAACGACGGCACTAATTTGTCAAAATAACAATCAAAATGTCAAAAAGACAATTTATATCTCAAATAAATGGATGGATGATTGTCCTTAGCTGGACACCAGAGAACTGAAGCGCCTGAAGGCCGTGGTGATAGAGACTGGAACAGAACAACACGCAGGACTGAATTCAGCTGAGAAGAGTTCGGACAGTGAAGTGTGTGTGTGTGTGTGTGTGTGTGGGGGGGGGGGGGGGGGGTTAGGACGTCTGACTGAATCGGAGCTGCTCTATTCACTGTTCTCTAAAATAGTAATTTCAATTCCACCTTTATTTATATAAGTTGTTAGTCTCGTCATTTACAACAAGACCTGTTTTTAATCACTTTCATCAAATGTTTACAGATGTTTAACAACTGGTTAAAATACACCAAAATGCAAGAAATGGCATTTCACCAGACCGCCTGCTGTTTGTGTTCCGGTATCAATTGGTTTACAAATGAAGCTCTGAATATAGTAATATAATTTACTTGTTTAATTGTGTACGTAAATAGTCCATATCTTGATATGTATTTCTTCCCCAAGCCATTTTTAATTCAAAGCAGTTCACAACGTAAACATTAAATTTGTTCCAAACTACAATGCAGCAACATCAGTGTTCTATTTAAAACTGCATTTACACAAAGTCTTGATCCAATCCTGCAGCCTGGTCCTTGGCAGTCATTCGATGGGCCACAGTTGTTTGGAGTGCTTTAGCAGAAGAGCGTGAGAGTAAGACAGGCAAAAGCAAAGTGACACAACAAGCCCTGTCCCATTT